CCTGGCTCCGTTACTTTTCGGCCGGAGCTCTGCAGTTCTGAGCTCCGTTCTCTGCAGTAAGGTCTGCAGACCTTACTAATCCATCCTTGCGAACGGGGCTCAGAACTGTCAGAGCTCCGGTGATCGATCGAAAGTAACGGAGCCAGGACAGGACAGCAAGGAGCGGCTGCTCTCGTAGTCAGGTACGCGATCCGTGACCGCGTGCCTGACTGATTTTCCACTCGCCCTCTCTTTATTTCCACTCGCCAAATGCGAGCGGGCGAGTGGAAATTTTGAGCCCTGATGTAGGCCCAATGGAAATTCAGACAGTGGTGTGGGTCTCGTTTCCCGAAGCAAACCACTTCCTGTTTTGAGTACCACGGCATGGCATGCTGGTTACATTGAGCACATCATATATACGATTGAAAGAATGTATATAACAACAGTGTGTGAAATGACACTTACGATGTAGCACACAGGAGGCAGAAGCTGTAGTTGAGGTTCTAATGTCTCACGCCCTGGTAGTGGGCATATACACATGGTGCCATTGTCTCCAAAAACAGATGAGTTCCTGGATACTCCCTGTGTTTGTGGCATGTGGCTGAGGGCAATTTTAGATTTTCCTTTCCTCTAAATTTAAAGAACTCAGGAAAATGGCAAATTAACCCTTGCAGTGGGGCTTAAGTGCTTGTCTTGGTCAAGGTTCTAAAATGACAAAGATATACTCATCCGATCCTTGATCCCGCCAGGCTGCTAGACTGTTCCCTGCAGCCTCTCTACCCCACCGCTCAGGCTGTCTAATGATCTGTAAGTCATCACAACTAATACAGCATATTAGATGTGAGGACACCGAGGGACATTCCTCCGCTGGAGTGGAGGGGAAGAGAGGCTACAAGGACCAGTCTAGCAGCCAGGCAGGACCGAGGATTGGATGAGTACATTTTTCTTATTTTAGAACCTTGACCAGAACTAACACTTATCCCCAATAAACTGCATGCCCCATAAACTGCTATTTACAAGGAAATGTATTGCTATAACATGGTTCATTCGTTAAATTCTTTCAAACGTTTGTACTGTAATATTACACGCTCATTAACTGCTAACTTTAAGTCAGGTGGAACCCATGTGTATGTTGTCCCCCAAATGTTCAGATTTTGAATCCGTGGTCTGCTGCCACATCATACATAAATGTATAAACCACACAGACAAAATCTTGGTCAAGTGTACGAGGTTCCAACATAAATTTTAGGTCAGAATTAAGCCACAAATCACACTGGTAAGGTGGTAAGGTGTTACCTGGCTTCCATCTTTGATCTCATGCTTTGCATACGAAGTAACAGCTTCAGGGCATCGATCCAGAAGCCTCTCTATGGAGCTCTCGTAGTTCAGTAGGCGAGTTGCACATATAAGGTGTATGCTCAAGTGTGAATTGTTATCTTGCGGTATAAAATTCAGAAATGGGAGGAAAGATGCAATTTCCAAAGATGGTCCACAGAGAAGAGACTACATGCAAACAGATGATAAGTTTGTCATAGATGTTCTTACAACACAAACACATTCATAAATTATTACCACCAACCACCACATTTTCTCCCTTATTAGCACTCAGATGTATGGCATTAGGGTATGGGATGAAAGCTGACAGCATGTGGTGTAGACATGGCTGAGCATCACAAGTTACAAAGAGACCGAGTAGGTCAGAGGTTTATAGTCCTGCATGATAGTTATGATTGTGACTGTTGCCTTTCCTAAAAAAAAAAAAAACCCTGTAAACCAGCTGTTTATATGGGCCAGTTACATAGACCAAACTATTGATCAGGTATCCCATACTGTTGTGTAGCCATACTGAAGAATACCCTCTAATTTTCTCAGCACCAGCTAGTAAGAATATGGGGTGCATACGAGGTGCATTTGCTTAATAGACAGCCCCTTATGTGTGATGCAATCAACCACAGACAAAGTGTTTGAAGTGTAACTCCAGACAAAGCTTTTACTTTAGTTTTTGCAGGGATGGTAAAGAGTTAAAACACTTGTCAAGTATTTACTGCTCTCAGTGTCTCCATTGGGGCGACGAGAATAACTAAAATTGCCACAAGAAAAGGAGTAGAATGGAGATCTCTCATTTGCACTTGGTGCAGTAAAGCCGGCCGAAAGTGGAATTTTCCCTCAGTTAGGGTGCTTTCCTCTCACTTGCTGTTATCATTGAGAAAGCGAAGGAAAGATCCTACACTGTACGATAACAGCGATGACCCAGCATTCTTTTTACTTACATTAGCAAAAAGCCTTTATTTCATAGCATTGTGTTATCCAGAACAAAAGGTTGGAAAAAAAGTAGACCACCAACTGCTTTGTGTGCAGCCCAATACCCGTCCAGGAAGTGGAGTCCAGGTTTCCTGCTAAACCTCAAGTTTTCTATTAAATGACCAGTGGCTAATACATCTCTTGATATCTGTTGTAGACAATGGAGCGGTGTCTACTTCTACTTTACAACACACAGGGATCATGGGGAACAACAATAGCCACCCTCCAAAAGGCAGGACAGTGTCAGCACCAATCAGAGATGATTTGAGGATCTACAGCTGAGTGATACACAAATAAGATACATTTAGGCACTTGAATGCATTTTTAAGATTTAACCCCTGAGTTTAGTTTTAGCAGCATTAGAAATCATTCCGTTTATCTATGAAGTACAAAGTATCAGCTACGGGACCTTCAATGAGAGACATGTATCAGTAAGCTTGGAAATGTTCCAGCCTGTTAGCGCTGTTATTGATGCGGAGTACAGAGATGAACATTAATACAGCAGATCTTCTGATTGTCTGCTCCTTCCATAATTTGTACTTCTATTATTTAGGAGTGGGTCAACCCAATCAAACCTGAATAACTGAAACTAGAAGTGCAATTTGAAGCAACAAGTAAAGTTTAATAGTCAACTACCAATGTGATCAGGATTATTAAAACCTCTAACTTTTGTATTAGATTTAGCAAACCTCTCCCATTACTCCTACAGTTACCGGTCACATTGTTTGAATTCAATTCTGTTTGGACAAGGCTGCAGCAAGCTTTAAACCATAGTATTTAAAGGACATCTTTTGTCAAAAATTAAAAATAAATATGTATTTCTATGCTGAATTTCCGTAAGTTCTATCTGAATCCTAATAACCATATTGATCTAGAACTTTGTAAACTTCCTTATTGAAGATGTCCATAGGATGGACTTCCCCAAATTCCCTCAGCCCTGTAAATATGCACTTTTTTCTGTGACAACTCTAACTAAGCCTGCCGTCTGAACTTCCCACAATGTAACCTCATCATGGCTTGCTGGAAGCAATGCATGATGGGATATGTAATCTTGAAAAATCCAGGTTGTATCAAATCATTTAGCAGGGAAAGAGAGACACAAAGCACACTGGGAATCCAGGAAGTTGAAAGTGATGGGAAGGTAGCACTCACTACTGAAAAGGGATTTTTCAAGTAAGCTTTGATTGGATTATCAAAAAAACTCTAGTATGTATTCCTATTAAATTGCTGATGTGATCAACGGATAGGATATGCTGGGACTTTAGAACTTCTTTAAACCAGAATATTGTAATCTCAGATTCAGGGTCAATCAGAAAATGAGGACATGAGCAACTATGCAGAAATAGTTATAAGGACAATAAGCAGCACAAGATGAAAGCAAATGAAAATTAGAGCTAATAATTAGGTTAGTCACATGTCAAATAAAAAAAATATTTATATGAATATCCTACTGAACAAAGTGTATCTTTAACAGATGCCACAAAATGGACTGTGGATATGCTCCATTCGTGTAAGACTCCTATCTGGTGTCCAGGTCACAGGTCTGCATTGCTTAGGGAACAAAAGCGATAGGTGTGTAAACACAACAGTAGAAAATTAACTTTGAACCCCCAATCAACCATACTGATTGGCCAGGGAGGTTGATTGTTCCCTATATCAATTATGTTTAGTTTAGGTGAGAACAAAAAATAACGGCCCTAACATTGGCCCGACTACCCATCAGCACCAAATAATCATAACATTCCTTCCTCTGGACTGCAAATTGCCTTTTCTATTAATTCCAACGTCTGTAGCAGGTACAGGTGGTAACAAAATGTACACTACCTATGAAAGCAAAGACACAAAATATTTACCTGTAACTTTATCAAATCTCCGCACTTATCACATGAAGAAGGCCCAAAGGACACCATCTTTGATACCCATGGGCTGATCACTCCAAAATGGCTGCAGGAATTTCTCTACAAACACAAATTATTTTATTTTTTCTTAGTATACACACACGGGGGAATTTAACAAGAGGAAATAAATCAGTTTTGTGGTGTAAATATTGGCGTGTTTTCTGTTCACCAAATAAATGTTATAAGACAAGTTATATGTGGTATTGCACTGGATGTGCCAAATCACATTAAAAGTGTTTTGCAATAGTTTCTATAAATGTCTGATCATATGCACCAAAATACTACAGTTCTTGTGCCAATGTTCTAATTTAAAAACACAAAAATGTACACCAAGACCAGAGTGGTGTAAATATTGCAGCGAGGATGGGCGACATAGATGATCAGCACTGCAGCAAGGAAGCAGAGGGGAGTGTGTATGGACCAGCAATGCAAAAAAAAAGAAGAAGGAGCTGGAGAAAGTTTAGGATGAGCCTATTGGAACATTACCTCAGATTTGTGCCAAAATTGTCAGAGTAAGCATACTCAAAACTGGCGCGCCATCAAAACTATGCGACAAATTAATGAATTGACATGCACCACTTCTATTGAATTTTCGCAGGAAGCAATAATTAAGTAGGCATATAAAAACTGGCAGATTTTTCAGCATGCACCAGTCTTTTTTAATCCCCACTACAGTATCTATTATGGATGCACTGATACCGATACAATTATCGGAACCTATACCGAGTATTTGCCCCTCATACGTATCCCGATTACATGCCGCCCGGCTTCCTGATTGGCCGGGAAGCTGGCTCCATGCTCTCTCGTCACCAGGGAGCATGGAGCTGGCTTCCCGGCCAATTGGGAAGCTGGGGTGTGAGTAATGACTCTGACTGTCCTCTGGGCTTCTTGATTGGCCAGGAAGGCAGCTCCATGCTCCCTCGTCACTTGGTGGAAGTGACTAATCAGGAAGCCATATCTAAAAACTCTGTTTTTAACCTTAGCGGTTAGACAAATTTTTTTTTTGCATGCTGGCTGGTGAGTGTGCTGGGAAACCTTTTGCTGTTGTATTGTTTAAAGCCCTTCCATGTGCACCTTGCTTTAAAGCTGGTTAAAAGTTGAGGAGTGCGTTTGCCATTTGTTTTGCTTGACTGATTTGGTGTGGTGACACACTGGGGTCTCAGCTGCCGCTGTGATGTGCGGGGTCCCTTGTGTGTCCTTGGCGCTGCGACTTTCACACATTCTGCAGAAGACGTGTATCTAAAACCTCTGTTTTTAACCTTAGCAGTTAGACAGGTTTTTTTTGCATGCTGGCTGGTGAGTGTGCTGGGAAACTTTTTGCTGTTGTATTGTGTAAAGCCCTTCAATGTGCACCTTGCTTTAAAGCTGGTTATAAGTTGATGAGTGTGTTTGCCATTTGTTTTGCTTGACTAATCAGGAATCTGGGCGGTGAGTCATTACACGCCACCCTCCTCCCTAATGGGACTTCCGGTATTGGTATTCAGTATCAGCGAGTAACCGGAAGAAAAATATTGGTACTCTTATTCGATACCGAAAAACCGGTAACTGTGCATCCCTACTATCTATCCATCCTTTATTATCCATTAAACAAAGCTGATTACAATTTCCTAGAAGATTAGGGCTGTATACTATTGATTAAATGAATCCTACACCACACAGTGAAGAAAAACAGAAAAATTACGTTCATGAGCCATTAACTTACCAGATCCTCTGCACTCTTTAAGGATTCGATGCACACATGCTGTGGTTTGCATATTCGAGACACATAATGAGATGTAAGTTTAAACAGAACGTCTTGTAGAATGGAGTCTCGAGGATATGAGGATAGACGGGTCTCCCAAAAATCAACAAGCAGTTGTGGATCATCATCATCATTGGATTTTTCACACAAAACCTACATAAACGTAATACCGGATTAAAGATCTCAAAAAAAAAAGAACAACAATTTTTCAAACAGATATAAAGGTCACTATATGCCTATCAAAGTTAGAAAATCACTACTGCTCTCTGCTGATCCTTTATGTTAAAGGAATCCTTTTCACTGTGAAAGGATCCTTAAAGTTAGAATAAAGCCTAACCTTTCTTTAGTTTTGGATAGAGTGGAAAGGGATTAGAACACCTGTCAGGTTTTCCTTGCTGTCTGTGTACCAGTTAGAGAGATCCATCCCCTCGGTTTGTCCTGGTGACCATTATCACTGAAAGTAAATCTCACATTTTGAGTTGTCCTCAGTACAGGAATAGAGGGGAAATCTTACAATGGGGACACTAGTTCTGGTAACCCTGCTGACCACTAGAGATTTCACTCACTTCCAGTTGTGGCTATCAGACAGGAAGGGAAATCTCCCCAATAGGACACAGAGGGGGAGAAAAAAAAAAAAAAAAAGGTAACACCCTTCTTTACTCTATACTACACAAAAAAAAGTTTTGGCTTCAGTTCTACTTTAAGACAGTGTGAATGACGCTCAAGCACCTGCATGTACCTTATATTAATTATACAAGTGTCCCCAGACCCCTGAAACCCCAGGAGATCTGATATGCAAATCCCTAAACTAAAAGGCAGCCTTACTGTCCAATAATACTAATAAAGTCTAGATTTACATATTGCATAGACCCAGGGCACTCATAATATTATTAAAAAGATATGTACAGACACGTGCAGCCTATGGTTTAAAGAGAAAATATGTACGTGGTCATTGTTGAACCCTAGTTACCTTACTATTGCTTCAGCCAAAGGCTTCAATGCTATGGATTTGTACTGACTAGCTGCATGCAAGCTCAGGGATAGTCAGCATTCTAAGATGACAGACTCCACAAGTAATGACTCCACTTACAAATAATGTCTGTTTATTTACTCAGGGCCCCTCTCCCATGGCAAAAAGCTGCATTAAATTAAGAAAAATAAAATGGCGGGTGAAACAATTGGTCATTCAGATGCTTTGCTATAAATACTGTGTGAATTACCAACCTGGAACTGAATGGAGTGTCAGAAAAGTACTGAAACCTATTTATGAAGCACAGAGCGGAGCTTAAAAATGTGCACTAAACTCAAGACTCTGAAAGCAAGCAGGACACCAATTTTTTCGAATGAATGAAGAAAAAAAAAAAGGAAGGAAGAGAGCCCGGTCACTAGTCCCTATTCAAATCAGAGTTCTCTTGAAAGCGTTATGCAGAAAGAACTCCATGGGACATTGCAGATACCATGGACTGCATTTTATTAATTACTTGTAAAACGTATAACTGGCCATGCACGAGTTGAATTTTGTTTGAACATTTTCATTTCCAGACTGTTGGATTTTTTTTTAATGGTTAGTGGGGTCTTATCGACGATCGTATTCAACCACAGTGATGAGGACATTTGAAGAAGTAGAAGGGAAAATTGTTTCTGACCTGAACAAACAAAATTCTAACAGTGAATATGATTTATGTTAGGCACAAATTGTACATATTGGAAGGCGCATATGCTAGGCACAAAAATCTGTAGTCTGTATAAAAGAAAAGAAAAATTGTAATAATTACAACAATCACACCTTAAAAAATAACTCCACTTCTTTTAGATTCATTTTGCTGTTTTCATGAAAAACCACCATGGCAGCAATGAGAAGCCCTGGCGAGGTGTCTCTTAAGTAAAACACCATCTCTGTGGGAATGATCTCTTTGTTTTTGCGTATCATAAGCAGACGAGGCTCCTCCAGAAAACCATACAGCAGATGAGTCTGCGGGAGAATTGTTGAAAAATGATTAAAAGCTATACATACAACGTCACTATGCCATTTCCAAAAGACTAAAAAACAAGACACACAGACAAAAGTTTCCTGTTGCATCAAAGATGAAGCTCACCTGATACCGCTATATTTGTATTTAAAGTGACACAAAACTCAGGAGTTAGATCTCAAAAATGCATTCAGGTACCTTAACTATTATTAAAAAATGTATCTTATTTGTGTATCACTCGGCTGTAGATCCTCAAATCATCTCTGAATTGGTGCTGACAATGTCCTTCCTTCTGGAGGGTGACTACTTTTGTTCCCCATGGTCCCTGTGTGTTTTAAAGTAGCCACCGCTCCAATCTCACTTCTGTGATGGACTACAGTCTCATGATTAGTTTACTAATTTGTATTGAGATTGTAGTCCATCATGGAAGCAAGTTTGGAGTGGTGACTACTTTACAACACACACAGATCATGGGGAATAAAAGTAGACACCCCCCAGAAGGAAGGCCAGTGTCAGAACCAATTCAGAGATGATTTGAGGATCTCTAGCTGAGTGATACACAAATAAGATACATTTTTGTTACTAGCTGAAGTACTTGAATGTATTTTTAAGATTTAACCTGTGAGTTTAGTGTCACTTTAAGTTTTGCACTGTGATAAAAAAATATGTAACAAATATAAAGTATGTGTTATTCCAGTTTGACTGCAAAAGTGGAAATACATTTTAAAATATATTTTCACGTTGGCAGTCAAATTTGAGAAAACCCCACTATAGGGTTGATACGTTTTCCTATTCACACAGCATACCTAAAAATAATTGTAAAGAATATTTCTTAACTTTTCAATTTACTCATTTAAAAGATCTCTGCATGCTCCTCTCTCAATTCCAGTAACAGGAAACTCTGTCTGTTCTAAGAGAAGAAGACAGACTGAGCATCTCCTCATTAACTTACACTGGCTTCAACCCTTTGATAGGACAGACAGCCCTGCTCATGTAGTTTAATGACATTTGCCAACACAGTACAGATATGGTTAATTATTTGAAACAAAAATCCCCCCAGACTGTGTGAACTAAGCAGGATTTTTCAGTCCTGGATTTAGCAGAAAGAGCATCTAAAAAAAGTAAGCTGCAACTTTTATTTTTTTATACTAAGTTATGCTGTGTGATTGGGAACATGCATTAATACATAGTAGGTGTTATCTCAATTTGGCTGCATAAGCAGAAAAAAACTTTAAGCCTCAAAAGCCATGCGAGTCTAGCTATCATTTCACCCTCCCCTTTCCCCCTTAAGACATACACAGCACCATTGTAGTTGTTGCCAGCAGTGATATAGGGCAGCAATTTTTGGGGTATGCCTTTGAATAGTGAAATCAAAGGGAGTTTCATCTTTTTTGCATATCTAAGGTAAGATTCACTTTGCTAAGTGAACAGTCTCGTCTGCTTTAGTCAATCAGCATAGGAATTAAGCACCGCTCCTCCACGGCTTTACCAGGGGAAAGACAGCCGGGTGCTCGCTGGCAGGAGTGTGTCCTCGCTCCAACCAAACAGGTATATAGTAAAAGAAGGTTCCGTCCGTGCTCCGTTCCACGCTGAATCAGTTTATTGATAATTTGTCAGCGACACGGAGTCCTGCCCTATGGTCCGCACCCTCTGAGATGTTTCGCCTAATCCTGGGCTCTCTATGACTAAGCCCAGGATTGGGTGAAACATGTCAGTGGGGGCGGACCTAGGGCAGGACTCAGTGTCACCGATACTGTCACGGATTCTTCCTTTACTTTAGTCAATTACCCTTACTTTTTTTTGGTACACAGCCAGTCATGAGAAAACATTTTCTGGATATAAGTGAAGTCATTTCCCCAACACTTTTGCCACTCTTAATGTCTCACCTCCTGATGATGCTGCATCTCCGTTTCATACTTCTGAAGATCATGCATTCTTAGCGCCATGGCTGCCTTTGTAAGAGAGATGACAGCTGAACCCGCCACAGACTCTAATTCTTCCAGGAAGCCCATTGCTTTAGCTGGGCACACATTAACCATACAAGGACTGGATAACATATTGGGCAACTGTTGTGGTTCTGCAGCTTTAAATATCTGCAATACCGTCAAAGCCACTTCCTTAAAAGAGAAAAAAAGAATAGAACAACTTTACATCCTTAAACCCAAACAACCTCAACAGTAAACTTTACAAATCAATTTTACAAAATGGCTTCCAGCATAACTTTCCCATCTTATGACTCTTAAGCCTTTGCTGCACACATGTAGTGTACAGTCAATGGGCCGGTGGTAAAGGAACACTCACTTTCCTTAAAATTCTTGCTACGCTAAATATTTATAGACGGTTTACTCGTAGGTTACTGATCACAGCCACTGGTTTCGTTTTTGCAAGTTAATTCAGTTTAAACTGTTTTACAATCCTGTTCAACTTTACTAATGGCAATTCAATAACAAAAAGAGAGGTATACCTCGCTCAGTTGTTCCTCCAGCTCTTCACAAAGAGAATGTTTGAGGTAGAACATGAAGCCTTTCCCGTACTCCTGGGGAAAGTTTTTGGAAGTAACGCGATCTATAACGTCAGACACGGATAGGCAGGACATCTTGTAGTAAGGAAGTGCCAGATGGGATTTATTGGTGTCCAACCTAAAAGGCGGAAGAGTTATAGATACAAACTCATCTTAAATTCTATTTTGCATATATTGTTGTACAAGGTTTAGGGCTAAAACTAAACTGAACGAATATTAGAGAGAGACCATGTACAAGCAATTGGCTGTAGCTTTTGTTGCTGCTTAGAAGATATGTACATTATCTACTACTAGACAAACATTCACCTTTTTGAAAAGCCCAATGGCCCACTCCTCTATGTTTGTCACGGTGACAACTGCCAGATATTTGAGTACTACATTTTTATTATACAAGTGCTAAACATACCATATATAACTTTAGGCCTCCAGATACAGGAGCAACAGCCATATCTGTGAAGACTAAAAATATGTATGTCTATTCCAGGGGTGGGTAACTCCGGCCCTCCAGATGTTGTAGAACTACAAGTCCCATAAGGCATTGCAAGACTGATAGTTACAGGCATGACTCCCAGAGGTAGAGGCATGTTGGGATTTGAATTAAAAGCACAGCTAGGAGGATCGGAGTTGCCCACTCCTGGTCTAATCAACTGCTATTAATCCCCATATATCCCCATATAGAACCTGGTCTAAACTGTGCTGGCTGCATTAGTTTTCTTTTTTATCCTTTGTATTCACCTGGTGATCCTGCCAATAACAAACTTTGTGTCCTAGGGTGGCAATGTTAACACACTGTAATGGCTCTATGAAGCACTGTCCCCCTAGGCTAATTTCCTGATTTGGACTACAAACAGCTACCCTTAGATAGAGGGGAGTTGTTTTGTACTTCACAGAAAAAAGCCGGGAAGGCAGATTACATTCTTTAAAATTTTAGTTAAGTGCACAAGAAATTCCAAGGACAGAAAGAAGGATCAACAAGAACGGTTCTGTACAAATGAACAGAAATCTGACACAGCCACCACATCTAAGGACTTGGAAATGACAATATATGACATTTATGTACTTGGGTTTATATATACTTTAAATATGAAAATATGTATTGAGAACCAAAGTGTTTAATATAAGATACTGAGTTAAACATGCCATGCTCTTTTGCATGCCCATCATACTATTTTTTTAACTTTTAATGAAGAAGACATTTTCCACATACTTAACCCCTTCGTGACGGGAGACATACACTGTACGTCCTGCCACGAAGTGCCCAAATGACTCGTCACGTACACTGTACGGGACGAGTTATTTGCTGCTTTACAAGGCTGGTAACCGCTGAGAATAAGCAGTTACCATCCATTAACCTCCCTGGCGGTATTCCGGAGTCTGGCTCGGGGTTAACTTTCAATACCAGGAGCGGTAACCCCGAGCCAGACTCAGGACTGCAGAGAAAAGTGACACTCACCTTGTCCCTGCAAGCCCGTGGCGTCCTCTGCTGTACGCGGCCTGAAAACGAAACTAAAAGTCAGATGCCAGCATCTAACTTTTAGTTTAGTTTTCGGGCGTCACAGCCGGCGGGAAATTCAAAAGTGAAAAGTTGCAATGTACATAAAATACACACAATACAATGTAATCTCCTATGATTACACTTATGTATCAAACTATTTCACTTCAATTTTGTCCCTAGAGCTTTGTCCACTGCCCTGCCTGACACTTGTTCACAATTTTAAGAAATTATAATATAATAAATAATTATAAAAAATTATAATAAAATAATAAAAAAAATGGTCCAGTAAATGGGAATTCTGGGGGCTTTGCCTGATCCGTACCACAGTAAATAGGGTACCAAGTTCGCACATCACTGAGCTCGGTCGCAGAATCCTCGCTGTCCTCACTTTCAGTGTCTGTTGAGGAATTTCCCAACGAATCGCTATCACTCAATTCTGCAAGTAGTTCTAATTTACTATCGCTGTTTTCTACCTGGTCTAAAACCGCTTTTGACCTAAAACAG